TTCAGTGGTTCTTAAAATTTATCATGGTTAAGAATCATCTGAGATGCTTATGAAAATATCCCACCCAAATATCTGATATGATAGATTTGAACAGAGGCCAGGAATCTGCATTTTAACAAAGAATTCCTAAGTAATTTTAGAGTGGAGAGTCAAGTAACACTCATTGAGAAACACTGAATAAGAAAGTATAAGGGACATGTGGAGAAAGAAAGATGGGCATGGGCAAAATTTAGGGTGTTCAGAGTTGTATTGTGCAGTTGTCTGGTGATTTAACCAAAACAAATCCTTTACCGTGAAAGAACCCAAAGCCTTAATTCCCATATTATGTCTATAGCAGAGGGAATTGGATAGAACAACTCACGTATAGGAGCTTGAGTTCTTGACTTACTACTTACTATCTGTGTGACATCAGGTAAATAACTTTGTCTCTTTGGCCCTTAGTTCCTAATCTGTAAAATAAGAGGATTAAATTAGATGATCTCAAAGGATATTTCTAACAGGAGCTCTGGTGGTGCAGTGGAAGCATATAGCTGTTCAGCAAAACATCAGTGGTTCAAACCTACCAGCTGTTCCATGGGAGAAAGATGAGACATTCTGCTTCCATAAACATTCACAGCCTTGGAAACCCTATGGGGCAATTCTGTTCTGTCCTATAGGGTCACTATGAGTTGGAATCAACTCGCTGGCAGTGGGTCTGATTTTTTTTGGTTAAGGACATTTCTAGCTCTGTGAGTCAATGATCAAGTCCCATGTGGGCATCAGAAGCCAAATGGAATGTATAAATAAAGGAATAGTTGTTTGCCTAGACTGAAGAGTAGGAAGGATTTCAGAGAGGATTAAGGCCTAAGAGGGCCTTCGAGGAAGGATGAAATATTTGAAAAAGAGGATATAGAGCATTTACTCTAATGAGGAGTTGAAAAGACAAGGAAGAAACCAGTTTGGCTGGAGGGGAGGTTCCTGTGGGTAGATACCAAGGAAATCATTGGATAAGAGGTACTTACCCTGATGGTCATGGAGAACTTTTAAAGAATTTTAAGTAAAAGAGTGACATAAGCAAAATTCAGTTAGGGTTGGATCAATGCAAATCACTAAGAGCTGGATTTGAGTGGAGGCAGTGGGAACAGATGAAAGGATCAGCCCCTCGAGTTGTTTCTGGAGCAGATCGGATTGGATTTGGCTGGATATGCACAGAGGTGGGAGGAGGTGTAGGTTTCAAGCATAGGTGCATTGAATTACCTGGGTGACATCTGTTGAGGTATATGAGGAATATGTTACTTTTTTGGGGGCCAACAGGACAGAATGTTGCCAAATAAATTTGTTGTTAGTTGCTGTCAAGTTGGTTCCAACTCCTAGCAACCATAAGTTCAACAGAATAAAGTACTGCCCGGTCCTGTGCCATCCCCACAGTCACTGCCATGTTTGAGCCCATTGTTGCAGCCACTGTGCAATTCCATCTTGTTGAGGGTCTTCCTCTTTGTTGTTGACCTTCTATTTTACCAAGTAAGATGTCCTTTTCCAGGGACTGGTCTCTTGTAATGACATATCCAAAGCATGTGAGAAGAAGTCTTGCCATCTTTGCTTCTAAGGCATTCTGGTGGTACTTCTTCCAAGACAGATTTGTTCATTCTTCTGGCAGTCCATGGTATATTCAGTATTCTTTATTAACACTATAATTCAAATACATCAATTCTGCTGCAGTCTTCCTTATTAATTGTCCAGCTTTCACATGCATAAAAATCCCAGGATTTGGGTCAGGCACACTTTAGTCCTCAAAGTGACATCTTTGCCTTTTGACACCAGAAAGAGATTCTTTGCAGCAGATTTGCCCAGTGCAATACATCATTTGATTTCTTGACTACTGCTTCCACGGACCTTAATTGTGGATCCAAGTAAAATGAAATTCATGAGAATGTCAATCTTTTCACCATTTATTATGATGTTGCTTATCGATCCAGTTGTGTAGTGAAGATTTGTGTTTTCTGTATGTTAAGGTATAATCCACATTGAAGACTACAGTCCTTTATCTTCATCAGTAAGTGCTTTAAGTGCTCTTTGGTTTCAGTGAGGATGTTTATGTCATCTGCATATTGCAGGTTATTAATGAGTCAGTTATTAATGAGTCTTCCTCCAGTACTGATGCCATGGTTTTCTTTACATAGTCTAGCTTCTTGGATTATTTGTTTAGCATGTTGTTATGTGCCGTTGAGTCGGACCTGACTCATAGTGACCCCTCCTTGGGTTTCCAAAGCAGTGTCACTATGGAAGTAGATTGCCCAATCTTCCTTCCGAGGAGTGGCTGGTGGGTTTGAGCTGCTAGCTTTCTGGTCAGCAGTCAAGTGCCTTAGGCACTATGCTACCAATCCTGACACACAGCTTTCGTGATTTTTAAGCCACACAACATCCCCAGTTCTGTTGGAACTGCTGCCTCTTGGTCTACATGCAGCTCATCACGAGCACAATTAAGTGCTCTGGAATTCCCATTTTTGGCATCCTAATGTTACCCATAGCATGTTATTCACACAATCAGATACCTTTGCACTGTCAAAAAACAAACAAACAAGCAAACAAACAAACAAAAAAACACAGGTAAATAGCAAAATTTGACTTGTAGGTATATTAATTATATTGTTTGATAATTTCCTCAGTCTATTGGATCTCCTTTCTTTGGAATGAACACAAACATGGATCTCTTGTAGTCATCTGGCCACGTAACAGTCTTCCAAATTTCTTGGCATAGATGAATTAATATTTCCAGTGTTGTATCCATTTGTTGAAATATCTGAGCAGTATTCTGTCAATCCCTGGAATATTCTGCTAATGCTTTCAGTACAGCTTAGACTAGAAATGAACTAGAAACAGGGAAATCCTTTGTTATTTCAAGGAAACTTGAAAAGAATAGGAGCTCAGTGTTCTCTAGTAGGAAGAAGAAAATTAAAATCACAGGCTCATCTGCATGTCTCTGACAGGTTTTAGGAAAGTGAGAAGGGGGTTGTTGTCTGATGGAGGTTGTAATTTAAATACAGTATGACAAGAGCAGACTGCTGGAATCAAATGACATGGCTTCAGAGCTGACTCCTCTTCTAACTGTAACTTTGTGAAAGTAACTTAACCCTTCCAAGCCATAATGTTATCATTAATACAAGTGATGACTGGGCAGATAATAAAAGTTCCTTCCTAGGAATATAATCAAATTTAAATTAAATAAATGAAGTCAAGTGCTTATTAAAGTGACCAGGACAGAGCAGGCTTTTAATAAATGGTAGGCTTTTATTTTTTCAAAAAATAAAAATAATTTAATGACCCAAATAGGGATATATAAGTTCAATCTTCCAATTCATTTGAGGCACTCTGTACTCACAATTGCTGATAATTTTGGTCCTTTACCCTGCACTCTTGTTTCCTGTGAGGTTTTGGAACAATTTGAATGTTCTGAATTGAAAGAATTTTGTCCTAAGGGTCACCAGTATTCATGTGTGGCTTATTATTCTGAAATCCTGGTAGAGTGGGCTCAACAGAGCTTTTTCTCATTGAGAGAATGTAACAACCATTCCATTAATTTCATTAACTTGCTTACAAGACAGCAATTGTTCTGGACATTTCTTTCCTTCCCAGATTTAGGCATATACTGTTTATTTGTGGGCACACATAGAATTTTATATATTATTTTAAAACTTTGGCAGATATTTTAGCCAACTCTAATCCTGTGATTAGGTGCATGTGTGTAGGAAGTGTTAGAACCTTGACATTATTTGTGATTTAATTTAAAGCATCCTCTGATTGGTTATTTGTATGCCTGTATGTATTTGTGACTCTTTTCAAAATTGGATATCCCAGATCTGAGTATATGGGAACATATTAATGCTTTTCTGAGATTACTGCCAAAGGTCAAGAAGTCATTCTTGTGTATTTATAATGGGTCCATTATTTTTATTTACTGTTGTTTCTCTTTAAATCATTTATCTCTCCCTCCCCCCCTTTTTTAACATTTGAATGCAGTTTTAATAGGGCTTGTTAATAGCATAATTTAAAGATGAAGAAACTAAAAATGGTCATTGATTTGCCCAAAATGGCCCAGCTGGTAAATGGAAGAGAGAGGATTCCAACCCAGGTGTTTGGGTCAAAAGCTGGTGTGCATTTCCATTTTTAGAACTTTGCATACTACATTTCTCAATGTTTTCCTGGGACAGTTTTTGAACCAGATTATAGAAAAATCCAGTTTGTTGTACATGTGACTATTAAGCCACATTGTGAGTTCCTGGAGGATGGAACATTGCCTCATTCATCTTTGTGTCTTTCAGAGGCCTAATAATGATTGCCACTTAAACCCAAATAAAAAGCACCTCACTGCCATCATGTCAATTCTGACTCATCAAACAACCAAACCAAACTCACTGCCTTCGGATCGGATCCAACTCATAGCGACCCCTCTTTGGGTTTACGAGGCAGTATCACTATGGAAGTAGATTGCTCAACCTTCCTTCTGAGGAGTGGCTGGTGGGTTTGAACCGCCAGCCTTTTGGTTGATAGACAGATATCTTAGGCACTAAGCCACCAGAGCATAGTGACCCTTTATTAGGACAGAGTAGAACTGTCCCATAATGTTTCCAAGGCTGTAAATCTTTACATAAACAGACTGCCTCATTTTTCTCCCACGGAGTGACTGGTGGGTTCAAAACATCTGCCTTTTGGTTATCAGCCAAATGCGTTAATCACTATGTCACCGGAGCTCCACTTGGCACTTGATAGATGCTAATTAAAAAGTATTAAATTTATAAGGTTGACTGGTGACATCAGTGAATAATTGAAGCTACCTAAAATTGAGACTTGATCTAAGAGTGTTAATGATAATTTCACTGTCCTTGGGTCACATATTGCCTACCAACAACACTCTATACTTTTGTATGGCATATTTGTAGCTCATTGTGTGGTTCATGCTTGCCTGTTTCCTGGTGATCTCATTGAAATGAAATGGCTTTAACCAAATCCTTCTAATCTTTTAGGAAACAAGCTATATTGAAGACAACTCCAGTCAAAATGGTGCCATATCATTAATCTTCTCACTCAAAGAAGAAGTTGGTGCACTGGCCAAAGTCCTGCGCTTATTTGAGGTAAGAGCTTTATTCATATTTTGCATTGGACAATATGTTATTTTGTTGTTCAGTGTAATGAAAAGAACATAGGATTTATAATTTAAAGACTTGATTTTCAGCTCAGGCTTTTACATTAACCAGTTGCATGAACTTAATTAAGTCGCTCAGTTTCTCTGAGCCTCAGTTTCTCTATTTGTAAAAAAAAAAGAGTGTTGGTAACACTTTGCCAGCTTCTACAGTTTTTGTGATAAAAGCATGTGTTTTGTAAAACAGCAAATGACTATACATGTTTTGCATATGTCATAGCAAAAGTCATGATTGAAAAATACATTAGTTCTTTCATTCACCAAATTTATATTGACTGTCTTCTATATAAGGAGCCCTGGTGGTGCTAACAGTTAAGCAATTGACTGCTAACTGGAAGGTCACCAGTTCAAACTCACCCAGCAGCTCCGTGAGATAAAGACCTGGTGATCTACTTTCCTAAAGATTAATCAAAAAAACCCTAGGGGGCAGTTCTATTCTGTCACATGGGGTCTCTCTGAGTCATTAATGACTTGACAACATCTAATAACAGCAACCTCTTCTATATGTCTAGGCATAAAATAATAGATAAGACACATTCCCTTAACTTCAAGCTTAGCCTCAAAATGTGTTCTGGAAAATAGCAGTTGTTCCTCAAGACAGGGAGCTCTCTTACAATTAAAAGGAAGCCATGATGGAATAGGTAGACTGGGCTCACACCATTCTGTCTGATTTCTTTATTGTGGACTTCTCCGAGCCTATGATGCTGCATTGCATACTAGGACAGTCTGAGAGAGAAATCTCCAAACTTCCTATTATTCCAAACTTACTTGACATTGGACTCCTTTTCATCACAAGAACATCTACTCACATTTCCCACTTTGGGAAATGCTGGTTTGAACATTAGCCAGGCATTTGAACTTCACATAACCCCGGACAGGTTTTCTGATTTTGATTTCTCTGAAGTACTTTGCTCATGATTTGCCTGGGACTCTTTCCACAGGAGGATGAACTGCTTTGTAATAATTTCCCTGCTGGTTGGAACCAAGAGTGGCACATTGGTCAGGGCTGTACAGACATACAGCTCAATATGTATCTGCTCATGCATTCAACAACTCTCTTTTGGACTTGGGCTGAGGATAACACTGTATCTCTTAGAAACCTACGATGTTCTCATACTCTGTGTGTGTGTGTGTGTGTGTGTTGGTGGGTGAGGGCGGAAGTACACAGATGGTGAAAGGAAAGGAAGCTGCCTCTTTGAGGATCCAGTAGTACAAGCAAATGTTATGAGCAGCCGTGTATCTACTGTGGGGCAGGGGTGGAGGGTGAGGACATCTCTCAGTGACTGGCCCTTGGCAGATACCATCTCATTCAATCTTACGATAATATCATGAGGTAGGGGTGATTTCTGTTTTTCAGAGAAAGAAACTGAGGGTAAGAGAGATTAGGAGACTTGCCCAAGGTTACACAGCTAATAAACACTGGAGATGCTGTTTGAAACCAAATATTACTCCAGAATCTACACTCCTGTTATATAGTGCTATCTCAGACAAGGCCAACTGCATAATTTGCTGGGTCTAGTGCAAAATGAAACTGTGGGGCCTCTTGTTCAGAAAGCAGGAAAAATGTGCTGTTAAAGGTTTTGTAATATAAAATGTTTTCTTTCTTCTGCAGTCTCACTCTCAACTGGCCATGGTGTTTTTATTTGCAATTTAATGCTATCCTCTTGTCTTTTGAGCACATATGCAGCCTTCCAGCTGCCAGATTCCCCCCTCCTGCCAGTGCCTGGCCCAACAAGCCTTGCCCCTTCTGGAGATGGGGAAGTCTGTCTTCCCTTTTAATGGGCCCGACCACCAATCCATTGACAGACGACTTCAAAGTGGTTGCAAGTTTCATGCGGGGATGCAATAGATACCTGGGTGGGAGATGGGCTAGAGACTGGCCCCCACTGAGTCACCACCACTGAATCTTGTCAAATCACTGGTGACAGAGGGTGGCTGCAGAACATGGGCCTCCCATCTGACACCCCATGTCTCCTGGTCACTGCCCTGGGCAGAGGGTCACAGCCATGGTGGGGTGGGTTACAAGAGGGATCTTGAAGTACTAGGGACCTGGGAGAAGCCCAGACCCATCTTGGAATGTGGGGAGGCAGCAGGAGGCTCTAAGCTCCTCAGTACTTATATTATCATCCCATTGGACTTTGTTCACAAACACAAGTTCAATGATACAATTATTAAGAATTTCAAGATGATGGTTGTAGAGCATTAAACTCTAAGCACAGGGGTCTCAGAGCCTAAGAGGCCAGTTTTGGCTTTAGACTTCTTTCATGAAGACTTCTTTGAATTAATTGCTGTCTTCTCAGGGATCCCAAAGTACTTTAACTGCAGCACTGATTTGCTTTATTAAGTGTATACATTTCTGTCTATCCCTGATGATAATAGCTATTAAGCCTGAAGACCTTGTCTCCATCATCTCTATGTTCTCTACAAACCTAGAGTCATATGTGTGTGTGTGTGTGTGTGTGTGGTTAAGGCATTTGGCTGCTAACCAAAAGGTCAGTGATTTGAACCCATCAGTTGCTCCATGGAGAAATCATCTTTATCCATGAGAAAGATGTATACAGTCTGCATCTGTAAAGATTTACAGCCTTATAAACCCATTGGGGGCTGTTATGAGTCAAAATTGACTCAATGGCAGTGAGTTTGGGTTTTATACACACACACACACACACACACACACACATATATATATAAAACCACCACAACAAAAAGCACACCTCACTGCCATTGAGTAGGATCCAACTCATAGCGACCCTTCCTTGGGTTTCTGAGACGATATCTCTACAGAAGTAGATTGCGCAATCTTCCTTCCGAGGAGTGGCTGGTGGATTTGAACTGCCAGCCTTCTGATTAGCAGTCAGATGCTTTAGGCACTGTATGTATGTAAGGAGCCCTGGTAGTTCAAACAGTTAAGTGCTAGGCTGCTAACAGAAATGTTGGCAGTTCAAACCCATCAAGCAACTTGGTGGGAGAAAGACCTGGTGATCTACTTCCATGAAGGTTACATCCTAGAAAACCCTATGGGGCAGTTCTTCTCTGTCACATGAGGTAATTCTGAGTCAGAAATTGACTCCACGGCACCTAACTACAACAACGTGTGTGTGGGTATATAGCTACATATGTGTTTCTTTGTATGTATATATAAGGGATTCTGGTGGTGTAGTGGTTAAGGCATTTGGCTGCTGACCAGAAGGTCAGTGGTTCAAACCCACCAGCCACTCCATGGAAGGAAGATAGGTCAATCTACTTCTGTAAAGATTTGCATTCTTGGAAATGCAGTGGGGTTGCTATGAGTCAGAATCAATTTGATGGCAGTGAGTTTGGTTTTGTTCTCTATGTATAAGTGTTCAATTAAGAATGAAATTAAAGTTAAATATGAGCAAATGAATTACAAGTTTAAGATTGTTTCATTCTCCTTTCCTGAATTTACAAAAGAAGGATTCTGTTTGAGCCAATGAATTTTATCCTGAAGTTCTTTAATAAAATTAAACCTCATTACCCAATGGGAAACAAAAAAGTCTGCCTGACTAAGAGCAAGCAGTGGATATGGAGAAGAGAAAGAAAATACTTCTAGTGATAAACTGTTCATAGGAAAGAAAATATCTGTAAAATTATCCTGTGTGATTATTTAGCCTTCCTATTAAGGCATTTGACAGCTAACTAGAAGGCTGGTGGTTCAAACCAACCATCCACTCCTCGGAAGGGAGGTTGGGCAATCTACTTCTGTAAAGAAACTGCCTTGGCATAACATACTATAGAAAACATTGTTCCACCTCCTACTTTGGCAAGTAGCTATTGGGATCTTGAAAGCTAGCAAGCTGCCATCTAGATGCAACGATGGGTCTCTCCTCATCCAGAGCAAAGAAGAATGAAGAAAACCAAAAAT